GTGTGTGTGTGTGTGTGTATAAGATTTTTTTTTTTTACAACCCCCGGTATGCCCAAATATGGGAGGAAGATCACTACTTCCATTCTCTGTCCTTCGGCTCGTCACAAGAGACCATCCAGGCAGAAACCCAATATTTTTACTGTTGCCTTTTTGTTACATTTTTGTTGTATTTGTGCTGATAAATAAATAAATAAAGGGAGACTAGTATAGATCTATTTCAAGCTATTTAGCTCTCATCAGCTAGCCATACCCTTACTGGGTATATTGACTAATGTTTTGAAAGGGGAATGTGCTAAGTATACAAGATATGAATATGAAAGATAATTGCAATTTATTTGGAATGTATTTCTGATATTTGACAATGTGGGGCAGAAAACTATAATCTTACTTTTTAAATAATTTATTGCATTTCTGTTAATGGATATTTCTAATTTATAATTTCTATCAACATTTTCAGGACTTTATATTTTTTTGTGATGCTGTTGCATCATGGATTAGCCCAAAAGATGATCTCCGAGACATGTTCTGTAAGGTAATATTTTTTTCAAAGGAGTGTGTGTGTGTGTGTGTGTGTAGATAGATAGATAGATAGATAGATAGATAGATAGATAGATAGATAGATAGATAGTATATGTACATTTTTCCTCCTGCTATTGCTAAAATATTTCTTCAGTTAGCTTGCTTTTCCCCTCGCACCAGTAGGCAGGACCAAAGAATGTTTCTTGTGTAATTGTAGTTGGCAACAAACAATACTTCCCCCTAGGTCCTTGGTGCGAACTGTTTTGGTAAAAGCTTTTGGGAAAATGTTCTGTTTACTTTTTGTCTCCATTCCTCTTCATTTTTTCCCTTACAATTTGGCTTTTCCTTTCCTTTCTTCTGTATGAGGGACCATCATGGCTTATGATGGTCCAGAAAGCCTCTCACATATACATGCAGGGATAACTAGGGGCAGCTTCCAAACAGCTATAGCAGTTCTGCAAAAATAATTGGATGCTTTAAAATGTATCATGCATTCCAAAACATATCTTCCAAAGGATTAACAAGCCCCTACTATTTGGGCACTTCTGCCTTTATTTCATAACCATTTAAATATTTATTTTTGAAAAAAGTTAACTTTCATTTAATTTTCAGATCCTTCACGGATTTAAAAATCAAGTGGGAGATGAAAACTGGAGGCGTTTCTCCGACCAGTTTCCTGTTCCTCTAAAAGAGCGCCTTGCAGCTTACTATGGAGTTTAATCTCATGTATTCAAGCTGCAGTACCATAATTAGAGGTAAATCATTTATCTTTCAACTATCTATGAGCTGCCTGTAGAACTTTTCCAATACATGAATTGTTCTGTTGTCTTTTTAGTGAGCACTCTGTTTAACTACAGGTAGTCCTCAACTTACAACTGTTTAATGATGGTTTAAAATAATGATGGCCTCAGAAATAATATTTTATGGCCTATAAAACACTTTTAATTGTCACAAAACATTGCGGCCTGGAGTCGTGTTTGTGATTTGAGTTTTTGACAACCATTTGCATTTATGATCAGTTGCCAACTCCCCTGTAAACGGGATCACCATTTACAATCTTCACTATCAGCCTCCGTAAAAAGTCAATAGGGAAGCTGGCAAAAAACGTTGCAAACTGCTGCTGCCTGCCAAGAGGACTCCTACTCTTGTCTGGTTGCTGGCTGAAAGAGTTCCTTGTTAAAATCCAAGCAGGCAAAGAATTGAAGTCCTTTGGCACACAGCTCTTTCAGCCAGCCCAAAGAGTTGAGAGGGAGTTGAAACACAAGTAAGATTTTTCAGCTTCTTGAGAGCGTAGATGCATGCAGTAAAAGGAGTGCAGGATGCTTCAGGGCACCCAAGCACAGGCTGCACATAATTGTCTTTCAACACAAGGGCGGAAAGTCCTACTTCGAGTTTCATCTCCTAGCAGAGGGGCAGTGCAGTAAGGTACAGAGTGCAGGGTGTCTCAGAGGTGAGGTGGGGGCCCTGGAGGCCCACAGCAGACCACACATAAGTATATTTCTGCTGAGAGGCTGAATTTCTGCTTGGATTTTGGCAAAGCAGATTATCAGCTCCTGAGCAGAAAGACATTCACACATCCTGCGCTAGGCCTCCAGGGCCTCTCTTGCCCCACTGGGGTATCCTTACTGTCCTTACCGATCTGTTTAACAACCACAATATCGTTTTAACAACCAAAACTGGAAGTGTCGGGGTAACCATTGTTGAGTGAAAGAGTTTTGTGATGTTTCTCTTAACAACCCTTCACTCAGGGACCAAGATTTCAGTTGTAATTATGGTTGTACGACAAGGACTACCTGTATGGATTTTCTACTACAAGTGAGCACTAATTTCTTCAGCAGTTGTTTTTCAGGAGTCAGTGGAAGATCCTCATTTTGTTACTTTGACAACCCGATAAAATTTTAAACTAGTTTTAACAGATTCAAATCATTGCGTGTATCTAATGTGCTATACAGTAGGCCTTGGTATGGTTTAATGCAATGGTTTGCTTCACGCAGCATACTGAATCAACATTAGATTCTCACAATATTCAAAAACACAAGCTAAGTAACTACATTTTAGCTTATTCTGTTGTTCCGACACAGTCCATGGAAGTTCCTGGAACTTTGCCAGAGCCTATGAAATTTAGTGGATTAGCCAAGTGGTTTCTGGTTCTCCCATCTGCAGTACAGCAAAGCATTGAGTGTACACATTGAATTGAAGCAGCCTGAATATGCAAAGATTTGTGTATTTTGAAAGCTCATCATATACAACCTACCATCACCTACTCTTAGCATTTCGAATTGGACTAGATCAGGAAACCCCTTCATGAAAGGGATTCAAATTCTTTATTGCTATGAGCTATAACAGAATCTTCGAAACCTGCTAGCATTTTCTCTCCTTAACCTTCACTTATTTTAATATTCAACAGAGCTAAGGCAGAGTATTAACAGATTTGAGTTTTTAATTTAACTTTTTCTTCCTTAAATCATGTTTTTCTCCAAGGTTATCTAGGGTTATGTAGTTTCTCCAAAGTTACCTTAGGGTTTGCTATACTATCCAGAAGAATGTTCTATTCTCCTTAAAGATGACTGTAGGATTTTAGTCTAGTAGGATTCTTTTTCATCCATTAATGCAATGATGTCTAAGTAGACAACACTGAACAATAAATAAATCAATAAGACAGCTAATCTGTTGGTTTTTTTTCACATTTAGGTTTTTTTTAAACAATTTCAATTATTTTCAGTTCAGTTATGAAGACATCTGCAAATTTTTGCACTCATTTAAAAAAAAACATACATAATGAAAACTATCCCTGTGTGTACTTTATTACCAGTAGTTCTCTAGAACTGAATTTGGGAGGTAAAAAAGTGATACTTGAATTGTAATTTTTGTGCATGTTACATAAGCTTTAATAAACTTACAGTTGGGACTCCTCAAATTAACACATACAGTAGCGGAGATCATGCACCTACCCACACAATGTTATCCCTAAGATTTAATTGAGCTTATTATTTCAGGTATAAATGGAACTAGAAATATTATGGGGTCTCTTGATGAAGATATAATACAAAAAAATTCAAGAAATAGCAATTAACTTCACTCTGAAAATAATATGCTGGTGCTTTGTTTTGCAGAATGCTACAGAGCAACATTAATTTGTATTTCCTATCTTAAGTGTGTATTGATCATAATAATATTAAACAACTTGCTTTTGAAGAAAAACTCGTATTTGTTTCTTTCAGGTCCTTCAGTCTGGAAGACTGGGAGGAAGCCTCTGCACCCAGGGAAAAATGTTACCCTTTACTGGGGGGAAGGGTAAACCAGTAGGGAATACAGTACAATCCCAAGCCTACTGGGAGGGGCGGGAGGGAGGTGTTGCCGTCACTGTATTAAGCCGATGTTGGGAAATGTTTTAACATCTGGAGCTTTTGTGGGTGGAAATCTGTCTCCTGTTACAATTCTGCACTGGATGTGAAGATGCGCAAAAAAGTTTGTTCACAACAGCACATTCTACAATATTATGGGGAATTGTACCAAAATGAAATTATAAAATAGATCTATAGGGGATATGTAAAGAGAAAATACATTGTGTTCATGCGATAAAGGAAACAGAAGAATGGCAATTACAGACAGTTAATGATATAACAAGGGGTTTCTGCATTGTTTCATCTTGATGGGATTCCTAAGTATTGCATGTTGATGAAGAACTAAACAAATGAAGTTAGTACAGTTAAGGTGAAGCTTGCTCCCTGTATTAGGAGTAAGCACTTGCAGTATACAAATTTAAATAACCCCATAATGAAGTAATAAAAGCTAAAACAAACAAATGAAGCAACCTGCAAGATGCCAAATGAGTCACTCCTTTTCATTTCTAGTGGGCGGGGGGAAACGGGCATTTCAGAAGAAAGATTAATCTTTTTAATTTTCCATTTAAAGGGTAGTAGATATGATTTGATGGTTGTGCTTCATTAGATTTAATTTCTAGAGTAAGTCATAATTCTTAATGTGCAGTTTAAGGTTCAGGCATGCATTTTGGGTCATAGTGATCAAGCATATTTTTAGTGGGAAAGTTAGCATGCTTGCATCAAGGAGTGAGAGTGGTAAACATTAATTACCTTGCGCCAGTTTTGTGTTGCAGTTTACCAATTCGTGCAGTATAACCCTGCATTTAAAATTCCTTGGATTTTATTTTTATTAAGATATAAGTATAAAATACTGTAGTGACAATTAGGCCTCAAAATAATTTTTAGGATCTCTTAGGAATATGATTGATATTGTAATGTGTAACCTGCACAATGTGGAAAGCAGATATAGCTGTGCAAAATATTGACTGTGCTGTCAGTGTGATGTGCTTTCTGCATGGTTATACTATTAGTGATTTTTATCAAATCTTCTAAAATGAGTTATAAGGTAAGACCTTAGTTAAAGGTTACATAAATGTTAGTTGATGCCTAAAGACAATTGTAGAAAATTGATGATATGATTGCTACATTTCAGTGTTTATTCACACCCAACATATTTTATTATTCCCTCCTCCACAAAGCATGATCTTAAGAGATGAATAAGTTAGTATATATAAAGCAGGGTATCTACACTGTTGGCGCATGTTGGGGGCCCATTGTGTCCTAGAGAGACCACAGAAGGGTGCAGGTTAAAAGCTATAGAGTGAATGTTCGTTTGGATCCTTTTCATTTCATTTGTTTAGCTTTTCTGCTTCCCTTTTCTATTTGCTTGTATTTCTGTGAATAAATCCTTGTTAAGTTTACCTTTTACTTTTCTTTCCATGTGTATTTTCTTATGTACTGTGAATGTGAAAATCTAACTGGTACACTTGATTTTGTGTTACTATAAAAGTGAAAGTGTGATTAATTTAGACTGCATAAAGAGTATCCCATGATGATAAAGGAAAAATGGAAAGACAATAACTCTGCGGGTCAGAGAAAAAGCCACACTTTTCCATTTTCCCTTAAGTGCTGCAAAATTAATCTGTGCAAAAAAAGAAAAGAAAAGCCATAACAACCGCCTTACATTTTAGCTTCTCACCTTTACATTGAAAAAAAAAACATACTGGATAACCGTTTTCTAGGGAATGAGTGTATGATTTTGATTCTTTTTAAGGTCTATTGTATGATTTAGCCATTGCACTGAAGATCAACCTTGTATGAGTGTGAATTTATGAAATGTTATTTCAGGCTTTTTTAATGCATGGGAGCATGCACAAGTCCTATACATTCCTTTTTTTCCTTTGTAAATTTCATTGGGGTCAAATATGTTTGAAAATGATTTATTACAATATGTCCTGTATAAACGTCTTATGAACAGGTTTATGCTACTATGCCATTAAAACCACTGGAATAAAATTGCATATAGTGATCTACTTTCAACTAACTTGTTGTATTGGAAGCCAGAACTTTCAGCTGACCTTTGCTCTAGCTTTTTCAATTAAGGAAGTAGATTCGAATTCCGAAGAAAGTAAATCTTAACATTTATTAAAGCCAGAACTTGACTTTTGGCAAGACTTTACATTTCTATATGGAATTCTCAAAGACAAAATGTTATTTATTTTGGCCCTTCTGTTGTTGAATTTGATAGTTGTCGATAACATTAAAGATTAGCGCATAGAAGCTACTTATATAGAGAGATAATTTTATTACATGGGTTAATATAAAGGGACGTGACTGTTTATTGTAATTTAGCTGATCTCACAGAAAAGTAACAAAGCAATACTGCAGTTAGAATTAACAAATTAAAGCTTCATAGCAAACAATATTCATAATGAATAAAATTACAATATACTTGCAGAAGCTGCTTGGTATAGAATTTGAGGTAAGGAGAATTTAATACAACACTAAGTTGTAAATCAAATATATTGCATCATGGGATATATAAAACATCTTAATTCTTTTTGTGTATTCTCGACAGTTTTGAATGTTGGTTGAATGTTGTTCTGTAGAATTGTATGTTTGTCTTTGTTACATTCCAGTGTTCTCTGCCTCTTGGCATGCTACAGGCACGGCTTACTAAATCTGCTCTTTACACAGTGAATTAAGTGCTTAGTGTGCTAAACTACAGAAATAGCCGCTGCTAAGTGATGTAGATTTTCTACTTGAATATTTTTGTTGTAGAAACCTCAGGAGGTCAGTGTTTACTGTTTTATATATGGCTTTGTTTTCGTGTTGAAGGCCCCTTTGCTTTTTGAAGGATTCTAACAATGAACAAAGCTGCTGATCAACCTAAGTTGGTAACAGAAAGTATATTTAAATATATATATAAATAAAACTATCTCCTTTGCAGTTCAACTTGGTTAATGTAGAAAGAGTTTTTGATGGTTGAATTTGTGACTATTAAGGGAAAAAGTCTTACCTAACGTCTTTGTTGCATTTCTTTAAATTGAAGGGGAATGGATAACGTTTTGTAAGATTTTTATCTTTTTTTTTCTAAGCTGGTATGTAGAAATCAGGTCTTTGATCTAGATTTCAGTGTTTAATGGTATTTAATTTGAAGTACTATACATTTCAGAGGACTCATTTCCAAGTAAGTATGCTTAGGACTGTAGTCTTGGTTTATTGCCATGCTGAAGATGAAGTTGTGGTAACTTTCATAAAATACATAGCCAATAGATTTTTTTTAAGTAACGTTACTTTTGTAATAAACAATATTGACACTGTGATACTTCTTTTTCTTTAGCATTGGCATTGAAGTATTTAAGCTACATAAATACTGTGTAATTTAGATTTATACTATTGTAAGAGGATTTCCAAAGCTGAAATTTCTGTTATTTAGATAAGAAATATTCATACTAGTTTTATCTCAGGTAAATAATCTTGTACCCTTTTATTTAGATAGAGGCTTATTTCATAAGAGTACCAGTTTGTTCTTCATATAGAACTGCCTGATGTCTTAAACTTTCATATCTAAATTGAGTTACTATGGGACAGCAATTACTTATTTTATTCATATTGAATGTATTAACAAGGATGTATAACATTCTTTTAAAGAGATGAATGCATCTGTATGAATAGTACCCAGTAATCACCATAAAAGAGACTTTGTATTGTGCAGTGCAAAGTTATGTTCCTGATGTAAAACAAAAGAGATTATGACCTGGAATATGTTCATATCTAAGTAGCCTAGGCTTTTTGGGAATAATGCATGCCTAGAGAAAAAACATGAAAATTATCCTTTTTTCTGATATAAACTACTATATGCCAAGCAGTAATCTCTTAAATTAACATTGCTGTTTGTATGTGAATGATGTACTGTGGTAAACATTTGGCTCTACGGTATTTTGATTTTGAGGTGATTAGATTAACAACGTGACAGTTTAATACTGCACGGAAATTTCTGATGTTCTTAATTTAAAATGTCTGCAATTTAAAGCTATACTCTTTATACTTGCTTGTCAAATCAAATCAGTGTTTAGGCTGTCCTGATTGAAATTTTAATATGGGCATATACAGTGCAGTTTCATCACTAAAAGACAGTGAAAACGTAACAGAGAAACTTTAATAGTTATATTAAAGTAATTATTTGATCTTATTTTGCTGGATAGATGCACTTTTAAACAAGATAGTTAAACTTCAAATTAATTGTAGCATTGATGATATGTTATTTCCCTAACTTTCCCCACCTAATAACTTGATTCTTGTGTGACAGTTCATTTTAGAATCAGTACTACTTTTGTATGTACAATTAAAACATTTTGGATGGCACATTTTTGTCTTCTTTCCCCTGAAGACACTACACTTTTTCTCCTAATCAAGTTTACCATAAGGTTGTTTATTTGAATTGGATTACTAACGAGAGTTAAATAATGTAGTCAGATCTTTCTGCTGACAACTTAGGTTGTACGAGTTTGCTTGAAAGCATTAAATTGGATGTGTTTTCCATATGTGTTAGAATATTCCCTTCAAACATATCCTTCAGCAACTTCTCAAACTTTATTAAGTTGATTTTTCTTGTCTGCCTCTGCCAACAAAGCTTCATTTTAAACACAATATGGTTTCAATTTTTGATAAGCTGCTGAATTCTAAAGAATTTTTGGGGCCACTAAATATTTTGGATCATGCAGAGAATATATATTGTAATGTAGTAATTTTGTATTTACATTTGTATGATGTGATAATAGATGTGAATGTTAATCACTGCTTGACTATGTTAATAAAATTCGTTTAAATAGATGCTGCACTCTGATTCTTAATGAAAAGAGAAGGAGCCATTGAAAATGATTTGTTTTAATTGAATATTCATTTATGTAGCTTCCAGTTTGTCTTGATATTTGGGAAGATATTACTGGCTACAGGAAAAAAACATGTAGATTTAATTAACATAGAATCACTGTTTATATATTTATATATAATATACATTGCTTTTTCTTTGGCTTTAGCAGCAAATAGACAAAATCAATAGGTTTTGAGGTGTGCCTCTTTTACACAGTTTAATATGAATTGAATTTCTATTTTAGGATAGAACAGTTATTTTCCAATTGAATATTAAATTATTACATTAAATATATTTTATTTATATTTGTAACAGAGAAATGTTGCCATGATTAATATCTGGCATCAAGACATTTGTTGGATGATAAGTGACTTCAAGAAAATCTGTTCACTGGGTTTATCATAGTTGAATTTAATGACACTTGCAAAAATAAAAGTTTTAGGATAACTAAGGAAGAATTGCACATTTATTGTCTTAAATAATATACATACACACACACACACACTTAAACAGCACAAACATATAAAGATTTTTGAGCTATAAAAGAAAGGGAGAGAATGTCCAAAGTTTGGCTTTCCACAGATCTCTAAAGGCATTTCAAAAAAGGTTCCATTTCTAGAATTAGCTGGTCTGGCTTCCCAATAAATTGGAAGTTATAAAGGGCTCTTCACAGATTGCATATCCATTTTGGCACTTCATAAGGAAACACAATCCAAGTCATGTTAGAGCTGCATAGATCCAAGTTAGCATCTGGGTTTGAATCTGAGAATACATTGGCAGTATTGAACATAATCTGATCTTACTGCTTAGCAAACTTAAGTGTTCCTAGCCATTTTCATAAATATACAAAATACATTGCAGTAGGCTTTTTAAATTTATTTATTCAATTTGTATGGCCACCCAAGTAACTGAGTGGTTCACAACAGTTAAAAACAAGGAAAAATGCATCGTAAAACCTTCAATATTATTTTAAAACTAAAATAACTATGATCAGTGGCAAAGTCCAGCACATCCATTGCAAAAACCACCATTGCCTGACCCCCAAGAACAATGGCAGAGTCTTGTCTTCAGTGGGTTCCTAAAATCAAATAAGGGTCAGAGCCAATCTAGAATATGGAGGAATGATGTTCCAAAGGGTGTATGCAACTTGGGTCCTGCCAGATAACCCTCTTTAATAGACCAGATCAGTAACATGCCTTTCCTGAATACTTTAATCAATTAAAAAAACCAAGTACCTTAAATAGTAATCCTTACAAGACCCAATGGTCTTGGTTGATGAATAGATAGGTTATTTACGAATTGGGATATATAAAGCTAAATCTTTTTAATTGGTAGTGAGAGGAATGGAATCTGAAACAGGCATACATCCATGAATATTGGGATAATATGAAGTCTAGTTTGCAAAACCCATTTAGATGGAAATCAGTGGATATATAAAAGCACATCTCATGTTACAAATGAGAAAATGAAACTTACGAATGACAAAAATTACTAGAGATGCACAAATTAAAGTACATGCAAATGAAAATAATAGCCACTTAGTATATCAGTTGTTTTTTGGATCTTTTATATTGTTTCAAACTACAAAAGCTAATAGTGCAAAGAAATCATAGAAAATACATTTAGCATCAGAAAACTTGAAAATATTGATGATGTAATTATACTGAACATTACAGTTTTGTATCAGGAGACCAGTTGTTTTTATTCTATAAACTGCTGGTCTACAGTCTTGATTTCTGCTGGTTTTTAAATATGTGAAATGTGATTACTGATTTTGAAACTGCTCTATCAAAAAAAAAAAGTATCTGAGCTAGGGATATCTATTAATCTTGTTCTTAGTTTGCTTAATAAAAGATGCAATTAAGCAAAAGGAAATCAGAATAATTTTAAACTGAAAATTGTAGCAGGATATATACAAGCTTATGGAAGGTTATTAAGTTTTAATAGATTGGCAGTTGGCAGAGCATTGCAGATGGGATAAGGGTAGCAATAGATGCAATAATAGATGAATCTACGGAAATATGAGCATCATATCAATGATAACCATGTTTTCAGTATAATACAATCTTACAGATAAATGAATCTAAAATTTGAATAGAATACTGAGTATGCAGTGCAGAAAGGGTTGTATCTACAGTGTGCTTTTCAAGTTAATATATCTAAAAATCAACTGATGATAGGTTAAAGATATATATATTTAAAGAAAATAAGTGAATGCACTATTCTTCTGTAGCCTTACACTTCTGTATCTACACAGGAAAGGTAGAATTTCTATTTCTCCCACTAATCATGAACTCTTATCCTCTGGAATTTCAATCTAAAAAAAAATTAAAACATCTCTTAGTCTTTACATCAACTGCCACAGAAATTGTGACTAAGAGCATAAGTACTAAAGAAAATAAATAGTACGGCAGGAGTCAAGGGTTATACAGAGTTTTCTCCAGTTCCCCATGTATCCATAAAACAAGCTATCACACAAATGTCAGATTTAAAACAGCAACAGTTGTCTCTGAAGATTGATCTATGCAATGTGCATCATTGCTGATCATTTTACTAAGCAATAAGAACAAAAACCCTATGTAATACACATTCGGGGAATGCATTTTAAAATAACTGCTGTAGAAATGATGGAAATCACTGAGTATTCACTTCGTGCATCATTTTTGGACATAATTTTAAGATTTCAGTTTTTCTTTATGACTATTACACAGGAAAAATCAAGTCCCCAAGCAAGATAATGGCAAAGACTAATTTATTGTAAGTCCATTGAAGAGAACAGAAAAGAAGCCTGCTCTGGATATGGTTATTTTATGGGTATTTCCTTTCATCTTGCACAGACAATCCCTAACCTATGTGGAGTATGGTATCGTCCTACAAGATGATGCAAGAATGAGATGGTATTAAAAATGTTTCTTTCCAACAACAAAATAATTCTAATCTCAATGTTGACTGCAATTATTTTACAACCAGCATGAAATTTTACTAATTGTAAAAATAGTTGTTTATTCTAAAACTTTTATTTTAGTGGTAGAGCATGTTTCTTTGTGTAGTGTGAAGGAAATGCAGATGTGCAACATGAGATTTTTTTTTAATAATTAGGAGCTAATGGCCTCATGCAGGAAAATTATGGATTAAAATGAATATCTCCTAAAACATATTGAAATATAAAAGAGAATAGAGCTTGTCAAAAATTTCAAAATAGAGTAATAAAGTTGGGTGGAAGGAGCAAAAACTATACCCCTCTAGCATGATTTGACAAAAAAAATAGTATCTTATGACTTGGCCTCAGATTTGTAGAAGACCTATAGAAACCAGCAGTCATGTTAGAGGCAAAATCTAGATTTCAATGAAACCAAGACTATCTCTGACTATACTAATTTCCAAATGGAACTTGTTTTAGAGTAAAGTATGAAATAAAAATCAGGTAGGTTCTATTTTTTAAAATATAGTATAGAAATAAAAAACAAGTACAGCTGACAAAGAACCAGAGAGTGAATGAGAGCTACAGGAAACAGTTACAGCATTCTACATTTATAAGTGGCAGCTCATTGGCAATTGTGTTGGTAAGTTTGTAGGAGACTGAAGAAATCTTCATTTTATGAAATAGCAATTTCATAAATGGGACAGCATTCCTTCTAACCAAATAACAAAAATCCTTGTTGAGCATAGGCACACCTCTACCCTAAAAATAATTGAAGGCTTCTCCATCTCTGCCCTCCCTTGCGGCTTAATAGCCTGTGGCTTGTACCAAGAGGAAAACCAACAGAATAATAATCATCACTTCCTCCCTGCAAAATTGACTTATCAACAAAGTGTTTGTTTAATACCTCTGCTTCAACCATATATGGTATAATTGAAATGTGATCATTTCAGCTGCCTTCTCTCAGTAAAGGGCAGGTATGCACTTTAACTTTTTACCTTTGTTTAACCAACCCTGGTCTGCTTGCAAAATAAATAATGTATAATAATTGTTCTCACCTATTGAGTTTTGTAAAGGGGTACTCCCCTAAAGTACTGTCCCCAGGAAGTGCTGGAAAACAGGAATTAAATAGAAATTCCCCAATTACAGAGAACCTTTCTTTAGTGGATATTGTTATCATAGTGCTTGGAAATCAACTGAACTCCTCACTGCCCGAGAGATCTAAATAGTATGGAATTGCTAACCATTGTCCTAAATACTGTAGTTGCCCCTCATTTAATGTGTCCCTCATTCAGCAACCATTCAGTTACCATATTGGTGAGAATGTAACTTAATCCTTGCTTTTACAACTTTCACAATTCTGTAAAGCAAAGGGAAGATGATGTAAGATTGTATGCATGGTTGCAATTTCTTTAGTGACCACTTTGCTGGTCCCAATTGCAGTAGCTAAATGAGGACTACCTGTAGAGCATATGCAGGTTAGGAAATCCCGGAAATTGCAGTTTCAACATAGCAGGAAGTTAACAAGTTGGAAAGGGCTGCTTTGAAGTCTTTACAATCCATGTCAACTTTTATCGTTCGGTCCCATTGTGGCTTACTCAACCCAATATGCATGTAAATGCAATCTATATATATCAGAGTATTTAGCTGATTTTAACTAAACACTTGAATTTTATTTGAGATACAAAGAGCATGATCCTGAAAAAATACTTAGAAATCAGCTTCTATATTTTTTGTATTGTATATCACTAACATAAAGAGCCTGCAATTTACTGGTGTTTTTATCCACAAGGCAAAATTAAGTATAACAACTTTGTTAGGGATACTTTATGGAGAAATTGCAAAATTCATGCTCAGTATTAATTCAGTATTAATTGCCTTTATTATTCAAAATGATGTATAATATTCTTTTTATACAAATGAAAAGATGAAGAAACTATGAGCAAAAAACATGTACAGGTAGTCCTCAATTTACAACAGTTCATTTAGTAACAGTTCAAAGTTACAACAGTACTGGAAAAAGTGACATAACCATTTTTCACTCTTACGGCCATTACAGCATCCCCATGGTTATATGATCATAATTCAGAGTCTTGGCAGCTGACAATTGCAGTGTCCCATAATTATGTGACTCCCTTTTGTGGCCTTATGATAAGAAAAGTCAGTGGGGAAGCCAGATTCACTTAATAACTGAGTTACTAATTTAACAACAGCAGTGATTCATTTAACAACGGTGTGAAGATCATCAAATGGGGCAAAACTCACTTAACAAATGCCTCACTCAGCAACAGAAACTTTGGGCTCAATTATGGTTGTAAGTCAAGGACTACCTGTATTACAAAGGGAAAAAAATGGCAGAACTGTGGTCTTTGGAGGGCGGAGCTGACGTCATGACAATATGATGTGCGATCTTGGAGCTCTAAGGTCGCCGTCAATATCTCTGCTGCTGGACGGTACCTTTGGACGTAAACTGTCCCATAGAGATGATGATAGAGAAGGGCACATCCTGCTGATCCCAGGGACATCGCAAAGTCCCTGGTAGATCCAGGTGCAGCTCTTTTTTCCAGCCACAGAGAAGCAGCCATTGAAGCTGCTGAAAGTTGGGACAGGTCCAAAACAGAAGAAAAGCGGGAGAAAAAATGTGTCAAATTGGTGAGATAAATTTTATTATTAGAGAACATAAAAAATAAAGTTAAAATCAAAGACAGAAGAGGTTAAGCGGTGAGATTAAGCTTGAGTTAAACTTAGTGT